AGCGGATTTCTACTACTTGGCTTTTATAGTATGAAATTGACCCTGAAATTTATAATAAGAACATACATTTGTAATTAAAACAATTGTATGCCTCTCCATCTGTTGTTGAGGCTTTCAGAGCTCAAATTTTATAAGAAACTGGATAATTTATTTTTTTGGGGTTATAAAATAGAAGAAATCATATTGTGTGTTATATACCTGTAAATCCAGATGATAGTTACAACTGCTCCACATATATCATCTCCATCATCAAACTAAACTTCTTTCTCCATCTTTGATTAGAACTCGTTCGTTTTCCTTTTAACAACAAATATCGATGGATCAGATACATCTCTATCACACTATAGTTGTGAAATATGAGTATAAATAAACATAAGAGACTTAATCTGATAACCTATATATTGGTGAATACATATAAAAGCGAATTAATAGAGAAAGGCACTACCCTTAGATATGCTACCAAAAAAAAGTATTAACATTGAGGAAAAGTGTTACATTAACCTTAGATATTGCTTTTGATGATCAAAGAAGGGTGAATTGAAGTCATACCTCAACTACCCTTCTTGCTACTTCATGTTTAAGCATTGCTTCCTCTGGCTCTGGAATCAAACATTTCATCGAACACATGGCATGCAAAACGAAATAAAATTCTAATTCATAAGAAAATCTTTAAATAGAAAAGACAATACATTGAAAATTCAACAATGAATCGGTTGGTTGAACACACCGAAACCCTAGATTTTGTGTGTGACAGACGACATAGAGATTGACCTCGGTGGCAGTGCAGTGGCTCCACTATAGAAATTATCAAATCTTACCTGAAAAAAAGTTAGAAAGATATAAGGGTTTCAATCGGAGCACAAAATTGAATCCAAAGTTTAAAAATATTTCAACCTCCGAAGATGATGGCGTACGCTGTGGCGAAGACAGTGTCGCTGGAGGCGGAAGCAGGCAATAAATCGGTCACCGTGAGAGGTAGCACTTACCCCAATCAAACCCTTGAATCGACGATGGTGGAGGGAGCAGAGGGCATAAGAAGCTTCGAGGTCTTCATCTGAGGAGGTCAGGAAAGCATCGTCTGTTTCTTTAAAAAGGAACAACAACAGATGTAGAAGGCGTGAACCGGAACCTTTGGCGGTGACAACCCCGAATCTATAAAGCCTGAGATGAAGAAGAAAAGTGGAGAAAGAAGCGATCGGGTTCAATAGAGAAGAAGTGAGAAGAAGAATCGAGAGTGTAATAAGAATAGAGAGAGATGAAGCGGTGGCGGTGATATGGATGAGTACATAGAGAATAGATGGTCGGTGTAGAAGCATCTGGACGAATTGTATTTTCCAACACAATGAGGGTTACAGGGGCAAATTGTATTTTAACAAAAGAAGTGGTCTAGATCTGCCTTTAATATATATATATATA